TGAAAAATGTAATTTGCGTGAGTCTCGCAAGACAGCTTTTTACCTGATGAGAGTTCTCGTCACAATTTAATCTCGCGATATCACGTGTCGCAAGATCTTGTCACACCCCTAGAAGGCATTTTATTTTAGAAGCATTTTTTTCAGTGTTTTTTTAATTTTTCTTTACGTCTCAACAGCAATCAATAAATCAAACACAAATAAAAATTAAACAAATCCAGTGTCTGTAGCTCTCGCAGGACTGGAAAAGGATAGGTAGCCAACTGGCCTACCTACCTATTAACCTGCATGCGCTCTGCCCATGCACTCTCTGCGCATGAAAGTGTGTTTTGGGAAAGTGGCTTTGGAGGGAGGGCTGAAGGGAGCAGGTGGGATTTTTTTTGGTTAAATACTTTCAAAATCTAGCTGTTTCTTGCTAGTTCTCCAGCGTTGCCTACTACAGATTTACCGCTTTAAGTGACAGGTGGGTGCCATTATAGGTGGCTGGCCACTAGGTGATTTCAGCAACCAGGCTTCATTCGGCCTACCTCATCTCCACTCCTCTTTCCCATTTTTGGATTAGTGTTTCTGGGTGGCTTTTAGTGTAGTGCCTTCTACAACACATGCATGTTAGCATCTCTTTCTCTTGGCCTGTAGGCTAGTATCGTAGACCTTTTCACAGAGATGACTCCAGGCTCTGCAAAATTTGTCCAACAAGGATATTTTCTGCTCACTACTGAGAGGTTTTGCAGAGTTCACACTGCTCTGAGTGTCCTCATTTGTCCTCTGTCCTCCTGGTTACTTTGGAGAGGGAAGAAGTCCTGACCAAAAAAACAATAGGGACGCAGAAGAAAAAACAAAAACCCAATTCAAGACAATAAACAATAAATGTTGACTAAGTTCTGTCTTAAGTACTGCCCTGCATGTTATTGTTTACATATCTCTTGTTCATGAGTTAAAACAACTGAATATTTCATCAGGCAATTAACCAACAAAGAAAATAAAGATTATAAATGTATTTTACGAAATCATGAGGTTGCAACACAAGTTGAATTGTACTTCTGTTGTGTGTGTGTGTGTGTGTGTGTGTGTGTGTGTGTGTGTGTTTGAAATCCACTGGAGGCTAGTGTGGTGCAATGATGTGCAATCTATATTAGTTATTTTACTTTAAGGTATTTATAATAGAGTTTGGGGCCCTTTTCTTTGAGAGATATTGATTTAATGTCAGAACTGAGAGTTATGTACTTTGCTCCTTTGCTTGTGGTAGGATTATTATCCATCATGGATTTTATATCGGACCTGATCTATTTTGTATTTGATGCTATATATATATATATATACCTAATGCCCCTGCTTTTGGATTTCTTTTCACCATCTGTGTTCTGGTACTGCATTTGAGTGAACTGTAATGAAAAAAACAGTTTCTAATGGCCGGTATGTTCCATACTGTGTACAATGTCTTGGGGTGAAACTGGGTTTCTCTCTCTCTGTCCTATGTGGATATGAGTCTGCAAGGTGCTATAGTCTCATTAAATGGTTAGATGATTATTTCTTTTTCTTGGTCTGTTTAAAGACAACGATATATTGAATATGTGACAGTTACGTGGTTATGTTCATCTTAAAATAAAATATATTATATAAAATATATTATGAGTGACAGGTGGGACAAGCCTTAAAAAGAAAAACACACACACACACACACACACACACACACTGCTACTGCTGTTAAAAGGTGAATTCAAGAGGACTGCGGCTGACTTTTCTGACTTGATAGCAGGCGACTGGAGGGGTGGGGTATAAAAACACTGCTGTCAAGTCGGACACATTCCTCTTCCCGTAGAGTGCGTGAGCTTACTGTGAGCTTAGATTAATGACTGTTCTAAATGACTGATCTTGAGATAATGCAAAAGGTGGTTCCAACTTGGTGCAGCCGGAGAAAAGCAACTGCCTTTTCTGGACTCAGAAAACTGCAGCTGCCTTGCTCCCGCAAGGTTTTAATGTCATGTGACATGGTGACATTTTTCTTACATTTTAATTTTGCTACTCTGATGGTAAGAGAGATGCTGTGTGCATTTACGCACAAGGCACAGCAATGCAACGTCATTTTATTTATTAGTTTATAGTAATGTAGCGCAGTGAGGATCCATCTGTTTCATAGAGTAGGGTAGTGATGCCGTAGTGTATAAGACGCCTGCCTTTGGTGTGAGAGACCAGGGTTCAACTCCCCACTGTGACCCATCCACCATTGTGTTCCTGAGAAAGACACTTAACCCCTAGTTGCTCCAGAGGCGTGTGACCTCTGACATAAATAGCAATTGTAAGTCATTTTGGATAAAAGCGTCAGCTAAATGAACAAAATGTAAATGTCTATAAATTAGACTCCAGTCTGAGTTCAGACATTTCCCTAATATATAACACAAAGCTGCAGAGTAACATTAGGCTTCATGATCAGTGACGCTTTTATCACGTCCACACTTCTGCCTACATCCCCCCTCTGCTGTGAGTCTGCCATTCAATTAGTCAATTGATGTTTTTTTATAATGTGCCATTCATCCACCATTATAATAGCAATGTGCCAAGGTACAAGTGTACCTGGCTTTTAAAGGGAATAGGAGATGACACTTTGATTGGTGTATTGCATGTTACGCCCAAAACACATCTATGACTAATTCACAGACTAAGTACAACCCTTTTGAACCATGTGCCTGGTGCACTGACCATTTTCTCTGCTGTTTTAAACTAGCAAAATTTGAGTTGGACACACCTCAAATGCAACTACACCACGCGCTTCACGCCATGTTCTTAGATTGTTAAAATAGGGCCCCTAAAGTTATAATGCTTAAGATTTTAGTAACAGCAAGTGTGTGTGTGTGTGTGTGTGTGTGTGTGTATGTATGTATGTGTGTATATATATATATATATATATATATATATATATATATATATATATATATATATATATATATATATATATATATATATATATATATATATATATATAAAAATACATAATACTACACTACACTCTACTTAGTCTGAAATACAACTATTGAGCAACTGCTACAGCACAGCTAAACAAACTCATGTTGTTTTGATAAAGAATTCTGTCAAAAATCACCCCTATTTCATCATGTCATGACCAATCATGATCTGATGATCTGACGCAGCGTGAGTAGTTTCCCACACAACTGCAGAGCACAGTAAAGTTGTTACCTTGCTGAGGAGTTGGATGTGTGCAATTTGTTACCTGTGGCTCTTTATCTAACAGCTCACAGTGGCTGCTACTTTTCTCTTCATTAATTTTGCTGAATGATTGCTGTCAGGGCTAACCGCAGTGATAAGTAAAATAAATGTCTTTTCAATGGGGCTGCTTCACAATAAAAGCTGTCCCATGAGTGGCCAGTTGAATGCTTTTAATGTGAAGCAGCAGCAGTAGGTAACATTCACTTTTCATTAGCTGTAACTTAATTCAGTTCTAACAAAGCATAAAGAGAGTCAACAGTAAACAGTGAGACACTTATCAATAAGATGAAATTTCAGGATGATATGCATCCATCAGTTCTTGTGAATCCCTCGTGCATGTGAAGGCAACTTGAATCCAGAGCGTGATGGTGGACTCCACCACTAAACATCTGTATAGTGAGTTACAGAATGTAAATACATTAAATGGGTCTTACAGAAAACATAAATAGTATCATCATATTTCATTTAATGTAAATCTTAATGATTATAACTTTAAAACTCAGTTCCATGAGGCGATTTGCGTCTGAGAAAAAGTATGTGATTGTTTGTGGTAACACCTGCCAGCCAATCAGAAACAAGCTTGCCGTGGTGTAAATTGTTGCATCCTGTTTGCTTGGAGTGGCTGAATGTCTTTACAGAACTGATGAACATTTTCTGGCACTTGTGGCTTTAACTAATGTTCAGCTTGAAGAGGAGACACACACGCGCACACACACACACACGCACCTGTAATTAGTTTTCCATACCTTTCTCTGCCTCCCTCCTTCCCTCCATTAAGAAGCAGACACTGAAGTTTTCCCATTAGACAGCTAAATCTGACTCACTCAGTATGTGGGTTTTTTCTGTACAATCCATGCTGTGTGATCTGACTGCTAAAACCTTAGAGCTTGCAGCATTTTGGTCCAGACAGCTTTTATCAAACTGATAGTAAACCCATGATGAGGAATGGGGGACGGGACTCGAGATGGATCAGGTTCAATGACCACGCAGCTGATGTATGAAGCTTTCGGAGGGAGGAACACTCCTTCACTTGTAGATCCTGAACAGAGGACACATTCACGCTGGGTTCATAACATCCAGGGGCCAAGGTTGAACACCCTTCCCCCAAACTTTAACACCTTCCTCACCCATTTCCTGTTCTGTTTTTATTGCTTCGTGACTGGCTCCACCCCCATCCTTTCTCTTTCCTAAAATAATCCTCCTTGCTCATCACAATTCCCCTCACGTTTGACTTTTATCAGTGTCACTCAACTGTGTCCTCCACAGGCTCTGCAGCCACCACTGAGAAATATTTCAGTTCTTCTTGGATGCTGCTGTTTTATGGTCGAAATATCTTTTGCTCTGTCTGAGTGATCTGTTCACTGTTACAGTTGACTTAAAATGGTAAGTATGATCTATGAGAGCTGTTTTGGAACAAAAAGTTTCTCTTTCCGTTTCTACCAAACTCAATAGGGGGCCACAAAAACCCACAACACTGGATTGAGCTGAATGAATCTGTGTTGAATAGATTCATTTTTCCAAACCAGCTGGAAAAGAGGATCTTTTGACATGTATTCCTTTTGCATGTGGTCTGTCCAAAAGATCCAAATCCCCCCCAAGAGTCTGGTTCAGAGGAAAAGTTAAGCAATCTTTTAAAGCCTGTTCTTGGTGCTGTTTTGCAGTAAAAGAAAAAAAGCCCCCACAGGTCAGCCCAGGACAGTGCTTTCAAACATTGCTTAATATCTTGGATGCAGCTCTTTTTGTCATATTAGTTGCATTTTCTTATTTTCTTTCACCCCCAGGGTCAGGACAGTATGCTTACGGAGACGATGAGGACTGGCATTCTCGTAGATATAAAGGTAACCACATGCTCAGTTTGACACTGCCAAATACATGCATGCATACATATCCAGTACACTCATTCTAAAAAGTGACACGCATTTCAATTTAGGGACTGCTTACGCTTAATTCAAAGTAAACATAGATATTTCAGAGCAATACAGACTGGATCCCATATAGTCTGGGGTTTAGTCGCAAGAGAGCTATAAATGAAATCCTTCAGATTTGATTGGAATGCTCAAAAGTGCCCGTGGCGTAGGGAATAGAGCATGATGTGGAGCTGTCGAGGACTGTAAGCTTGCACCCACCCACACCTCCCTCTCCAGTACAGTTGGATCAGAAACAGGAGAGCAAGTGTGATAGAAATAAATTAGAGCTAAACCATTAACAAAGTTTTTCCCTCTTGAGGATCAAACGCACACCTCTGACCTTTCATATAACTCTACTAGCTACTATGACCCACTAGCTAATGATTGTGTAGCCAGTTGCTTCAAATTACATTTGACTGGATTCATTTTTATTCCCCTGATTCAAGAAGTGTCATAAAAATATGTTAATGTTTACAGGAAGAGGGATTTTTATATCCTCAAAATTATTTTATTGACATATATTTGGAATATAACAAGATAACTGAACAATTAACACAGGGTTATAATTAGAAAAGCGTGTCTTTAAAGAGGCATAATTCAACGGCAGTTAGTTCAGCCAAGTTTTGTAAACTGACTCAATTATGTCAAAGTAGCTTCCAGCTTTAAATTCGGGGTCAGTTAGACACGGAACATTATCGTCCAGGCCAAACCAAACTCTCCCCTTGTGTAAAAGCTCAAATGTTGTATTATTTTCTCTTACTCAGTGGTTGTGGAGACTTTGCCAACACACACACATACAGAGAGAGAGGGAGCGAGAGAGGCTTGCTGTGTAAATGAATACTCATTTTTATTCCTGGAAATTAGCCTAAACTGGCGTATATTCTTGTCTCCAAGTGTGTGCGTGTGTGTGTTGGTCCTCTGGGCTGAGTGTTTGTCCTGAGCTAGCAGGAAATAAACTGCAGATTTTGATTTCCTTGTATTGGAATAAGAACCTTGTGGCCCCACAAACTTGGCATCTAACAAGGAATCTTTACACAAACGTTGTAGAGATGGGCAGAGGTGTCCACCATGGGAGGAGAAAAGCTGAGAACAAATGCATTTGTGGGATAAGTCTTAAAGGAATAGTTTGACATTATGGGAAATGTATATTTGTTTTTTTGATAAGCGTTGAGGTGAGAAGATTAATGCCACACTGACTAGGACTTTATTGTTCTAAAGTAACGCTGATAAATCTGTGTTCAGTCTAATCATTATCATGTTTTAGACAGACTAAATGGAGGGACGGAAATGAGTCCAGGGTAGTGGTAGTGTGATAAGTATCACTTAAGAGCTACACTCTCAACATAGACCTTTATCTGTGTTGAAACCTTCTCTACTCTATTCTCAACTCTATTACCCTCACATCCCGAAACTTAAGTGCGCTCTACACATCATTATCTGTCTCTTCCTCAAGTGAGACTATCTTCTTTGCCTCACAAGACACTGCTGGATTATGGAAAGTCGCAGATAAGGTAATGAGAAATCCACCGTATCTGTCTGAACTCAGATGATGGGTGGGTTTTCACATTTTCACACTTAAGTCTTTCTAAGCTTTTTATAGTCTTCAGGTAAGTTATTATTGGATATTGACATTAATAAGAGTCTCTCCCGTTCCAAGGCCGCACCATAAAAACATGTAATTGCCTTGATGCAGTGACGGAAAGGTCAGACCAGCCATCTTTCCTCCATATAGGGACACCGTGGTGCGCGCCCATTAAGGTGAAACATGGTGACGTGAGCTGTCGCACACCCAGAGGAGAGCACTACAGGAATGTGATGGGGACTCGCTGTAAAATACGCTGCAAGCAGGGATACGAGACCCAGAGCTCAGAGGTGGTGTGTATGGCCAGCAAACATTGGTCCTCTAACTACGCCTGCCGAGGTAAGAACTGAAAATGTAATAACATACACACATGCATATATGCACACATACTCGCACCCATATGCTAGGTTTGCCTCATGTGGATTCCTGATAGTAGTTCTTACAGTTGAGCAAGTTCATTCTTGGCTCAGGAAATAGCAAGTCCACTTCTTTTTTTTTTTACCATAGATTACCCTCTGTGTCAGGGATGGGAGTTACATTTAAAATGAAATAAAATTGCCTGTAGCTGATGTTCATGATTTTTTAAATTGGTTCATTGGTTTGAAAACAGCATTCACATCATAGGACACTAAATCACCTAATTGTAACTCAGGATACCAGGTTTTCATCCAAATGTAGCATACAATTTAACCGAATTTTGAGAAAATCGTCAAAATGCAGATGAATGTGTCTTTCCATCCTCTACTGTTACTGCAGTTATTAGGAGTTGTTACTTTGAGAGAAACAGCTGGTGATACCATTGCAGAAGAGGACTCAACAAGATGACATAGTTAAAAGAGCGCCAGTCAAACCTCAAGCAGCAAAAAACAATGTATGAAATACGGCATTTAAGTTTGTTTTATGTATTAATTTGAGGAACTGTAGTCTCCTCACTGCTTCACACACATCTGGGGTGCATTCAGCCCAGACAGAATGTAGCAAGACGTTTATTTCAACGGAAACGGTGAAGCCATGAACATCCTGTACTGAAGTGCACTGCATTGCTTTTTTAATATGGTGGTGGTGAGATACATGTCGCTGCTAATTGGGTAACATCTCTGACACACCCACCAAATGAGAGAAAACATACCTCAAAGACTGTTGCACACCATTTTGAGGAAACATGTGGATCAATCCTTAAATATAGCAAAAGATAACTGTTTTAATGAAAATTAGTGACATAAATACAAGCTACTCGTTAACTGTGTTCTCAACTAGCTACATCTGTAGGTAATCTGCAAAAGTCAGTAAATATTACATTTTCCAAAATAACTTTTGTTCAGAGAAGATGATTTTCAGAGATTGTTTACCGTAACCAGCTACCTAATAACATTTTGACATCAATTTACATGCAGAACACTTTTTACTATATGATAGTATGTATTATTTTAATTAAATACAGGCAAATATACTTTATGTTGCTCTTTAGTTGATGGTTTTCCATTTATAATGCGTGCTTCCATTGTTGTGACAACTGCTTCTTCATGAAGTCGGGATCTATTATAGGGGCCCAAATGCAGTCCTCCCTCCTGAAGCCCCTAGTGTCTGTGGGCAACTGTGGTTTGAGCATGAGTACTGGGGTCCTTTGTATGAAGAAACTTTATGTGGTGTTTAATTGTACATTTTCTAGTATGAGGTCAGAAATGTTTGAGTTCACGGTTGTCTGGGAGCAGCATTAGATTTCACAACTGCGACAATAGCTACTATTACCACCCAGGATTCAGTTTAGGAGGTTCACAGGGAATCTATTATACAATAACTGTGTGATTAAAAACATTGCATCATGTTCAGCATATTTAAGAAGCAGTTGATTTGTAACTTTTAATAAAAGACCAAGATGAACCACTATACCTAAACCTATTGCATGTAGCCTACCTGAAACCAAATTAAACACAGCAAATCATTCCTTCACCTTCCATCAACACTGAGTTCTTTCTCTGACAGAGATCCGTTGCGCCAAGCTGGACATGCCCGTTAACGGTGGTTACAAGTGTTCAGACGGCTCCTACTTCAACTCTCGCTGTGAGTTTTTCTGCTCCCCTGGATTCAGTCTGAAGGGCCAGAAGTCGGCAACCTGCCAGCACACCAAGGTGTGGAGCGCTGGAGTCCCCACATGTGTTGGTAAGACTGTGTGTGTTGTTCTTTTGTGCACAAATTTCATCTCCCACAGACTGGAAATCCTGCAGACTTATGAGCTGCATAGTAAAAACCCACATAACATGTAATTACCAATAACTTGCATAATGTCAGCTGCAGACTACGACAAAGAATATTCCTCATAATACAAGGTTAGGTGATGGACATGTACTTATACACAGACACACAAACAAACATGTTGTGTGGTTTGTCTCTCATCACCAGAAAATGATCAATGTTTTCAAGTCTGATCAAGACTGAGCCTGAAAATTACATTTTTTTTGTTTTTCATGAAAAGCTGAGCTATAAAGCATGCACTTGTTGATGATCATATAAATGGCTGAATAGTCTTGGGAGCTTGGTAACAGTGGACAATCACAGACTCATTTACTGTAGATCTCACTGCACCACAGTCATCACGTCCTAACAGTGCTGTTTGTGAAGTGATGTGCATGGGTACGCTGCAGTTCAAGAGTCTGGAGGGTCTTATTGTCTTTCTTCGCCTTTCCAAAACCAAAACACAAGAATGGATTAAACTGTGTTTTTCTGCTCTAATGTAACCTGGAATTGTTAGGATGTTCGGCTAACGAGCATACAGCTTGTTGTAACCCAGCATTACTTCCAAGGCAAAGGAGCATTTCAGTAACTAGTGTGTGAGTTTACTGGTTTTAGGACTAGCACAGCCACTGTGTTCCTCACTGCGTGGAAGTCGGTCCTGATGCTGTCAGAGTTTAGGCTAATGTCGGCAGCTCTGTTTTTATTTCTCTGGGGTTCCAGTCCAGGAACCCCAAAGAATGTTACCCCTGATCGCATTATCTTTGCCGGACTCATAGGTTAGTCCTCATCCTAAAAGTCTTTTCTCTTGTAAAGTTAAAAGTGAGGACATACTTTTTAAACAAATAAGTATATAAGCTAAGCAGCCAAACAGGGTTATGTGACAGTCTTTTAGCATTATATCATGTCTGTAGCCATCACTTGCATATTTAAGACCCTGTTTTCAACCAACGCATGAAGGTTTACTTAGCTTATCTAGATAGCGACAGGTGGTCAAATGTGCCACTGACGGCAAAAATGACAGTCGGCAGCTAGAAATGAGAAGCTGCTTTTGTCTACCATTGTCTGAAATCAAGCACCCATTGTTTCAAAAATTACCAAAATTATAAGTGGTAAATCTGCCACTGTTATCATTTTAAAACAGTATATTGCTACACTTTGTCCACATTTCCTATTCTTAATTTGTAGCCTATGTAGTAATTTATACATTTAAATGTAGATGATGTGATTTGCTTTGTCTTTTTTTCTTCCTTTGTTAAAGGCATCTTTCTCTCTCTGTAGATATTGATCCTCCAAAAATCAAGTGTCCTAATCTAAAGGATAAGTGGGCAGAACCGGGAAAGCTGACCGCAAGGGTGACCTGGGACACACCAGAGGGTGTAGACACTGCAGATGGCATCCTTACAGAGTCAGTCTCATCTCCACCACCCTTTCAAGCTTTTCTCCCATTTAGCTTCAGCGCACTCTGTTTTAGTCCTGTTGGTTATTCCACTCTGAAGAGATCCCAGTGAAAGATTAAAACAGGGCCTGTCTTTTGCAGTGTTATCCTGAAAGGGAAACCTTCAAAATCAGACTTTCCAGAGGGGCTCCATAAGATGTCCTACACTGTTTTTGACCGTGCAGGGAACAAAGGATCCTGTCGCTTCACTGTCAGAGTGCGAGGTGAGCTTCTAAAAGCGTCTTTTTGATAATGTGTGAGGAGCAGGATTTTCAGTAACACTTGATTTTGTTGGTTATTTTCATGAAGTCTCCTGGAAAGTGCTAGGAAATAAATTTGTAAACAAAAGTGCAGACAGCATTTACTTGGGTTTGAAAGCTTTTTGCTGATGGAAACTCTGGAGAAAATTTTTCTATAATTAGTACCAAATTACATAAATTTTTCAGAATATTATTTTGAAATTATGGACCTGTAAAATAAAACGTTACCAAATAAAATGGGAAGAACTGATATCTGTTTTAGCATCGCTAAAAACAAATGAAATTATTCCAACCACAATTCCTCCATTTCATTGAATTTGTAGATATATGTGCACAAAGAATTGCATTCTTCCTCTCTTTTTTCTTCCTTTAAATGCCACCTCACTGCCTGTTGTGTTTTCCCTCATTTTGTGTGCCTCTCTCTGTCTGTGTAGTGCGTCGCTGCAGCCCACTCTTTCCCCCAGACAACGGTTACATGAAATGTGACAGTGACGGTGACAACTATGGTGCCACTTGTGATTTCACTTGCACCGGCGGCTACGAGCTGCAGGGCAGTGCTGCCAGAGTGTGTCAGTATGGACTCACTTGGTCTGGCACAGACACAAACTGTGCACGTACGTACTGCATGCAGCAGATAAACACACAAACATACAACAGTTCTTTATTTTTTTTGTTTTTTTGCTCAGAGCAGATTGCAAAATATTGAAAATACAGCTAAACAAGAACAAACAATTGGCCTTCATCAGTAGTTTTTTGCAATGCACTACCTTCAATTTGCTTGCCTCTCTCTTGTGGAAGGTGCTTCCTTGCCATTAATGAAAAATCTAATATTTAGTAAATATGAATGTCTACAATATTCAGGAATTACTCTCAGCACTGCAGCCTTGGGATTTATTTGCAAAACATTCTCCAAAACGTTATTGATAAGAATTAAAACTTTGGTCCAAATGTTCATCAACTTGCGACATGACAGAAAAACAATTACTTTGCAGATATTTCTACACACTACACCCCCAGCAGGCTCCTGTTACTTCCAGTTTAATTTCTGCGATTCTGTTTGAGGTTAAAAATACTAGCTAGATAATTTTTTGCATCATTGCTGACATTAATATTAAGGCTATATTCCAATGAATCTGTCCCTCCTTCTCAGTGATTGGTGGAGATTGTTTTCCATTATTTAACGCTAAGCACAGATTTAGGTTTGCTTAATTTTACTAAGCTACTTATTGTCAGTCAGTTTCCATGTTTCATTCTCAGTAGGTTCTCCCAGCTCAGATTGCCATTTATTTTCAATTTGCTTAGTGCTTTTTTGTGGCATATTGTGGCAGTAAACAGTTGTATGCAAAGTTTGCCCTCCTGTGCTAAACTGGTTCCATATGAGAAGCTCAGTGGAGGAGAAAATGGCCCCCTCTGCTATACATCGATTAGAAAAATCAATACTGGACTTCTCTACTGAATGTCTGTATTTGTGAGACATGAAAAAGTAGATGGGATGGGACTGTGTAACAGCTATTGTGCAACAGACCGTCAAGAATTAATACTCATTGTTTTGTGTTTGGTTGAATACACTTGGATGGAATATAAGTTTCTTATGTAATATCATCTGCTCAAGAGCCCCAAAGAATCCAATTATGTAGCATCTCGCTGTAATATTGTGCAGCACTGAATCTTGTACTGTGTATCATGTCTCTTCGCATCACTTAATTGTACATTCAATGTCATCACAGCCATGAACATTAACGTGGGAGTGCGTACGGCTGCTGCACTGCTGGACCAGTTCTATGAGAAACGACGGCTCCTCATTATCTCGGCCCCAACGGCTGCCAATCATAATTACCGCTTCCAGATGACCAACTTGCAGGTGAGGCACGACTCACAGGGAGAGAACACGAGTTGTATGTGAGGCGAGTGAGACAGAGGGAAGAAGTGATGGAAGTCAATATGGCAGTGGTTTGTGTCTCTGCAGTGTGTTTGGTTTTCTTTCTCGCTTTGTGGGACAAAGAAGTGAGACAAAAAAATAGGAGGTTGTCCAGATGAACAGAAAATGACAAGGCGACAAATAAATGATACTGACACCAGCTTGGATAAGGCTATTCTGAGGCTGGACGTTTCCCCGGCTCGTCAGAGACCATTAAGTCAGAGCTGATCTTTCAAAATCACTGGGTTGTAAGCTGAAAGAAAAGATCATGTTATAAGGCAGTCAGCTCTGTTATCAAAAGTTGTGTGTGCTATTCAGAACTGAATTGAATAGCTAATTAATCAATCAACAGAAAATTATTGAATTATTTTAATAAATGATTGATTTTTTTGGTCATTTTCCAAGCAAAAATGCCAAATATTCTCTGGTTCCTGCTTCACCAATGTGAGTTTTTGCTGCTTTTCTACATTTAACAATAGGATTGTAATTGAATATCTCACGGGTTTTGGACATTTGAAGCCATCATTTCAGACTGTGGGAAATTGTAATAACTTTATAGGATTTTATTCTCCATCCATCCATCATCAACTGCTTATTCTGCATACAGGGTCGTGGGGAGATTTTCTTACCTGCATAAGATTAATTACCTGTTTCTAATACAAACATATTGTTCAAGAATTTCTGGAATAAACTGTCTTGGCAATGAGGTTTTTCCAAGATACAGTCTCTGATTTACTGCAAACAGTTTGAATATAATCTTTCTGCAGTTGCAGATTAGATTAGTTTTAAGAAAATACAACTTTTTTTAATGCTAAGCATGCTCTGTAGAAACAAATTTCGGACACAAATCTGCAATCAAAAAGAACAAACTATAATTGTACGTATACCCCATGTGGTACTTATTGAAATATCGTGGCGCTGCTCAGCTAATTTGAAAAGATTTGGTATATATTCACATGATTTGTGTTTAAAAGGAAAATAAACACACAAGTATCATTAGACATTGGTGTGAGACTGATCTTATATTAATACCACAACAACCCAAAAACTACCAGCTACAACAAGCTGACTGGACAAGACAATGCCTTCCACCAACCTGAACACCACGTGTGAAAACTTGAAATGCAAACTTGACCAAACATACTGACAGAAAGACGTCTTTGCATAAAAGAAGTCTAAACATAAACAATTTCAGGACACCTATGCCTTGTATGAAAAAGTTATTGTACACTAAACACTTTTGTAATTGTTATTATTAAATAACATCTCTTTTAAATTTAAATTGAAACATTTAGAAGACAATGGAGGTATGTGAGCTCATCTGATAGAACTGTGGGGTTACATGAGAATAAAACAGTTAGAAACCACTGCTATACACTTCATACAATTATTTGTTTGGGCATTTTATGCCTTTATTGGATAGCTAACAGTGGAAAGATGACAGGAAATGAGGCGAGAGAGAGATGGAGCATGCCATGACATGCCACAAAGGTCTCACATTCAAATACTAATGATTCACTAATGGAAATATTCTAAGATAAAGTTGAAAACAGCCTTCTAGTATCAAAACTTCACAGTGAAGCTCAAATTTCCAAGTGAAGGAACAATAAACAAAACACATTTTGGAGTAAAGGGGGACTTCAATTAATCTTGAAAATAATCGTTAATTGCAGCCTCTGTGCTGTCTATGCAGCCTTTGGTTTGTTAGAGTTTTATATTCTCTGTAAATTTTGCCTGCATTTGAATCAATAACAAAGCTATAAAACAACAAAGCTTATAGATCAGTCTCTTTGTCTTTGTGGGAACAGCACGCTCAGTGTGGACTGGACCTGAGGCACGTGACAGTGATTGAGCTGGTTGGGACTTACCCAGCACAGATTGGCCGAATTCGACACAGGCTGCTCCCTCCAGCGCTGGCCCTGCAGATCAGGTACTCGCACACCCAAGCACACACTTCCATAACGTGTCTTTGGCTCGCTCCAGCTGCTTATCGAGCTGATGTGTGTTTCCTAGGTTACTGCTCCAGATTCCTCAAAGGTCTTTCCAAATGGTGCTGGTAGACAAGCAGGGCATGGACAAGCAGCGCTACCCGTTCCCGATCACAGCGGCTGAATTATTCACCACCATCGACACCTTCCCCCTTCGCAAGGAGGAGATGGTGCTGCAGCAGGAAGCGGGCCAGTCCTGCCAATCATAAAAACGCGTCCACGGACTCTCAGCCATCTTTGATCCTTTCCCCCCTCATTCACAGCAGACAGGACTTATTCAGATCTTCTGTTTCTAACACACACACACTCCTACCTGAACTCATTCAGTCCTGTTTCCAGAAGGTGTGAGTGTGTCTGTGTGTATATGTGTGTGTAGGTATGTATGAGTGTGTCTGTGTGCCATCACAGGGATATCAGTCTTGACGCTGATCTGAGGCAAGCAGATTTATTAAAAGAGGTTACGAAATGGAGTGGGTCATATAGTACATTACAATCATATTGATTCCTGTGTCTTGTCTATCTGTATGTTTTATTATTATTATTGATATTCTCAAAGCAGAAATATGTTTTACTATTTTGTACAAAAAGTATTTTTACTGTATGAACTGGAAAACTCTTCACCTGTCTAATATTTATGTCTCACGTCACTAATAATGATGTAATCTGACACTCTCTGGAGTACTGTGTGGGTGTGTTTTATGTACAGGACACGACAGTGATGCTGCTCTGTTAGTACGCTGTATGTCTGAAATCACAAGACACTGATTAAATATGTCTATCATAGAGGATGTGATCTTTAGTGTGTCAGTGTCAGTGGAAGAGTCATGCATGATCGCCTGACAACAAATACAAAAATCTTCATCTTATAAAGATAAAACAAAATGTCCCTGCAGTAAGATTATTTCAACCATTTTCTAGTACAAACAACTTGTTTAACATTTTTACAGAACAAAAGTGTCATTTTTTAAGCAATAGTTGGGAAATACATTCACCCTTTTGCTAGGTGTTAGATTCAGTAGATTGATAGCATTTCCATGCCTGCACACTAAATATAAAGCTACTGCCAGCAGCTGGTTAGCTTAGCATAAAGACTGGAACACACATAAGATACGAGAGTGGTATCAACCTTCTCGTCTTCTTCTCATCTTTCATAAGGAAGTTTGTCTTGTTTGAAGATAGAGACACGACTCTTGAACAGTAAGCAATGAAACATTCCAGTGGTGCAAAGGACATAGTTCAGGCACTTCTGTGTGGAGAAACAGGATGTGATGTGGGTTTTTGATACAATATTGGGTTCATGGCTTGTTAAAAAAAACAGCTACGGTAAAACTTATGAGCAAATACATGAGCTGGACCTTTTGATGCATTCATTCACAGGTGAGTCCTGATTGGACAATTGGGACAACTAGTGGAAGATAAAACCTTACACCAAAACATCTACAGAAAAAAACCCAATTCAAAAACAGACAATAAAGGTAAACACAGTTATTGAAATAAATGCTTCATAAAAATTGTCTGAAATCAATTTCCCCATTCAGATCCGGGTGTATTGTTGCATCAGGTTTTTGGAATGGATAAAACATTCTGCTTTTTTGTCTTCTACATAACAACAATTACATATATACTTTTTGGACAAAAAAAAAGACTTGAAAAGATGGATTTTAGTATGTCTTAAATTGTTGTTTTTCTAGCTGTACCTACAATGGTAGCACTTAATCAATCTTATTGTTTACTAATCAAAATATTCTCCAAAAAAAAGGCAGTCAGTCTATGGAAAGATGCTTTTATTTCAAAATATCCCTGTAACACATCTGGGAGAAAATAGGCTTGAATACAGTGAGTTTGATGCTTGGAAACTAGACACAACAGAGATAGTACATGCTGTACATCAAATGTTTCTTCAGTAATCAGGTATTGCACGAGCCTCTCATCTAAAGTATGTTGAACACCATGTATTATTACTATAATTGTGCAGTGTGAAACTGTTTGTCTCTGGGAGCAGAGGGTTTGCCAAGGACAAGCAGACAAAACTGGCATTCCACATGAAAAAATGGTTGTACAGGGTTTAAGTTGAGAATTATCAACTGCGTGATTCATCACAGGATGGTGGATCGCAGAGCCCCTGAGCGACAGGGACAAGGTCACTGTCACTGACTCATTATTAGGCTCCCCCTGAGATGAAGGCAGCTCGTCTCAGCGCTGACTCACTCTATAACACACAGCCCTCGTCTCAGGGTTCCTGGGAACACTTTCCCGTCTGAGCTTAAAGTCATGTCATTATCAGTGCTTCATATTACTTTCTTTTGTTCATCTCCCTCTGTTTTCTCTAACACCATGCAGTTTCTATGATCACGCTGATACAGTGTTATGATTATGATGAAATCTTGATTTTTTTTTCTTCTGACAACCAAAGGTGGAAAGTAACCACAACTACTCTCTTTTCTGCTTAAATGCAATTTTTAAGAACTGAGAGCTGATTAATCAGTTAGTCGATCAAAAATTACCAACAATTTTGCTTTAAATTAACTGGTTGTCATTTATCAGACAACACAAAGAGTCTATGGCCATGCTACGGCTCTGTGAGGCTGTCCACAGTGGAGCTTTGAGTGGAATTGCTACATATCAGCATGCTAACATGCTCACAAAACAGCACTAACTTGCTGATGTTTTGCAGGTATAATGTTTACCGTGTCCACCGTCTTAGTTTAGCCTGTTAGCATGCTAAAATGTGCTAATTAGCACTAAACATAAGTTACAGCTGAGGCTGATTGGATTGCCATTATTTTGCAGGTTTTTGGATGCAAACCAAAGTATTGATGATGGCGCTAAAGAAACATCAGAGACTCAAAGTTTTTACAATTCACTCTGTGGAGAACAACACATTTTGTTTTCCATCCAATAGCTGTCAAGACATTTCACTTCAAAACCATAAATGTGAACCTCAAGGTGACTGGCGCAAGAAGAAAAGGTTTGCCGAAGTCATTAGGATTCATCAACTGGGAACCATAAATGGCGGTACAGTCTATCCAGTAATTTTGAGATATTTCAGTCTGGACCAGAGGGGTGCAGCGACCAAACAAGACTGACATTACCTTTATGAAGCTGCTAGTGTGGCTAAAAATGCTCAATGTATGGTCTAAAATCAGTATTTATACTTTTACCCTAAGAAGAAGGAGGATACTCCATTTTGCTTAATTATTATTTTCCCCCATAAAGTGTTGTAAATGAAAGCATATAAGACTACTTTGGAAAGCATCGGATATTAACTGATGATTGATAATAATTTTTGTTTCCTCACAAGTGATCATCAATAATGTTTCAATAATAAAGTTAGGTAAACATACTACTTGAGTAAGAAGAATAGCACTAGTCACTTTCCACCTCTGTACACAACTGTTTATAAGGAGATGAATCTCAGCATCATCGTGTGCTTCAGACCAGGGTAAAGCTTGGTTGCTAATAAAGGGAATGTCTAAGTCTCTACATTATTGATCAGTGCCTCATCTAACGCCTTACAAATAGTCTCTATCAGCTGTAACTACATGCAGATGTGACTCTGTATGAACATGAATCACAGAGACGAGGACAGACAGATCAGGAGTCACACCGTGTGCTTATTCAGTAGATACAGTAAGTTACATACAACACATGTTTTTCATATACAGCAGTAAACAGCAGTGCTTGGTCAATACTAGATGCTTTGGAGGGCAGGAGGGGGTACATGTGTATGATTGTGTAAGGCATGACTGGCTGTTCTGGACAGGAACAGGGATCTGAACAGGGCATCTCAGGGGAGAAGAAGTAGTGAGAGGGACGGTCTCTGTTCCTTTATGAGTGTTGGACCCTTTGCTGTTGTTTTTATGTTTTTTTTCTGACCGTTCCACTTCTCCACCTCTTCGCCTTCACATCACTTCTTTCTGTTTCTCCTCTCCATCTGTTATTCTCTTTTATCCTCTCTGTCTGTGCTTTGGTCCGCCTCATGTGTTGCACTTGCGCATGCTGGATCGCAGCATCAGAGTACACTCGTGAGGGATTTCTGGGTTTTCAATCATACGTTGCCACAGCCGCTGCTCCTCCCCGTAGGAGTCCATCCAGTCTACCTCGTTCCCGTAGCTTTTGCCTTAAGTGAAGAAGAGACAAACAAATAAACATTTGTTTTATTTTGTTAGAGCCTCTGTAAAGGCCTGATAACATTAATGCTCTCTCAACACTTCTAGATATATAGATGTGATTTATGTATTTGCGTTTATAAAACCCATTAGATAGTCTTCTTCTCATCTTTCATAAGAAAGTTAGTCTTGTTTCAAAATAGAGACACCTTTCTGAAACAAACTTTTTTCACTGGCAGATAGCAGTGTGCTTTAATGCTTAATAGGTAAATCTCAGATGCACTCAACAAACACCGGTGCTCTTGAAGAAGCATTGAAGTGATTTTTTGAACAAGTGAAAATTTTGGACAAATTAAAGATTTTTGGTAGTATGTCATAAATTCTTGTTCTTTCAACACTTCTAAAAATTAGATGAAGTGATTTCTATAGTTAAGTTTATAATTATAAATGAATGATATACATTTGTTGTGCCATGCATACAACCAACATTGGCTTACAAGACACAGATCCAGAATACTCCGTATATACATTGTGAAATGATACTTCAAAAATAGGTTGACATTTTCAATATAATATCCAACTATTCCTTTAAACATAAAAATTTAACAACCATTCCAATTTTTGATCATCTGTATGGAAAAGAATACAGGGTTTTGTTGAGCAATTTCAGGGAAAATAAACAATCATCAAAGAGTGTACAATACAAAAGAAAATGGGCCTCAATTTCCTCTTCTCCAAAATCGCACAGCTCACACAATCTGTTTTTTCCCTTTGGATATTTTTCAGCCTGTGAACCTCAATAACCAGAGGAAGAATACCAGCTCTCTACTGCTAAGATATGCTACTAAATATCTTTACGTTATCTACCATAACTTATAATTCAGGGACTTTGTTTGGTATGCAAGTATATTCTTAATTTAGGTTTTTGCAAGATATTTTAAGCCATTTTTTCTTGAACTTACTTTTATGGAGTATGCATTACAGCAGAAATTATTCCCGAAGATTTACAGCATCCGCCTCCTCAAATTTCCAGTAAAGCTCTTTAGCCCACCGACAACTGTGCAACTTCAGAGGTTTAAACCACCTTATCTGAAACTCTGTCAAGACTTTGACCTTTTAAGAGAAATAAACGTCTCTCAGACTAACAAAATCTAACCAGGTGCTTTTCTTTTCCAGCAGTCAAGCTTACACACACCTGTGCCAGCCCCAAGCCTGACTCCTCCCAGGAAGACATTGCTGGCCAGAGCTTCTTTGTCCCAGACCGTGAGCTCCAAGCAGACGTTGTTGAGGTCTCCTGGCTGCAGGCCACAATAGGTGAAGGTGTGGTTCCACTGTGGGTTCACAGTGCGTCGCTCCACCACTGTCTTGTGCTTGGTTGACTTGTTGCTGTCAGGCAGGAGGTATCTGGGGGTTAAAATAAACAAATTTACTTTACAATGCTTAGTCTGTGTTTTTCAAAACTCAAATTTTATGTAGTAAGGGAGCCAGGAGTGAGGGGTTAGTATCATGGATAGATTACTGAACCGGGTACAGGCCCAGAGGCAGTGGACCAGAGACTTTGTATAAAATGACAACATTTCAACATTTCTCATTTGAAAGTCAATCAAATTAGTAAAATTAGTTTTTGGCATTAGTTTATTACATAGAATAACTGTACCAAGAATGCTAAGAATCGTTGCTTTAGAACTGAGTCTTTTACCAACATTGTGCCTCAGTTTAGCATCCATTTAAAGGTTTCTAACCCGCCCATGAAAGGAGCATCTCACCCTTTCACAAAAGGATCAGAAGTGCCTCCAGACTTGACAGCAGTAAGATTTTTGGCTCCTTTGACCAGCAGCTCAACCATGCCCCCTTTGGGCAGAGTAAAGCTGCTTGTCTTCTTGCCTTTCAGGAACCCTTTCTTCACTGAGGGGGAAGGGAAGCAGACAGAGAGAAAGAACAAACATTCTTCAATTCAAAAGTTCAGATTTATTTATTTTACACTTATGAAAACAAAGCGTATGCACACAGACATGAATATTCACCTTTTACTCTATGCACACATAAACTTATGATGATAAGCATGTTTTTTTTTAACAAAGAAAGAATAACCTGCATTCAGGTGTCAACAAACCACAAATTAATGAAAACATTAGAAATAGATTAAACCAACAGAAACATAATCAAAAACAAAATCAACCATAAATGTAGACAATAAAAATAAGTATTAGGAAAACTCATAATATTGTAATAGCAGCGCTAATTAGAGACAGAGAATAGAATTCTCAGCAAGTCTTTAAATTAAATTGCGAGAGAATATTTGTGTATGAACAAGTTTTTCAATTCAGGCGGCGGAAGGAGGTGCTTATTTTAGATAAGTTAATTTAACTCTGTTAACAAGCAGCCTTCTCCCTGGTGGGTCACTCTGTAAACTGTGCAGACAAACATTGATCAAACCCACAAAATCATATTCTAAAGTCTATTAGGGATCTGAAAGTTCCCAAATATACCATAGAAATTAAAAGAAAATGATCTACAAGAAAACTAGGACATTTCCATCTCATGGAGTGGTTTATCTCACTCAGTGTAAACATCATATAACTTCAACAAAGAGCTGAAACAAGCTTATACAGAATATACTGAATAACATTCTAAAAGGGAAATTTATTGTCTAACTCTATCTGTCTGTGAAATTATTCTACCTATTTTAAACAATATGAGTTAGAACATGATATATAATTTAATAGCCATCACAGTTATGAATGTACCTTGTACTTGGTCCAGAGGCAGCGTGAGGTTCTTCTCTGCAGGAATGTACTTCAACACGACAGTCAGTTCTCCTTTATACTGCATTGTGGAGTCTATATTGCTCTCCAGCTACACAAACATCAATCACATCATTCATCATTGTTTTTACTGTATAACGCAGAAGAAGAAGACAACATGTGTGACAACATGCTCGATTCTAGTTCCTACCTTGGGCTGCAGAGCGTACCAGTCCTCTATTTGGGAATCAAACTCCCAGGAGTCAAAGGTCAGCTCCACCTCTCCCAGGAAGCTGTTGTGTCCAAACCGGTCATGGTGCCACACAGAGACCTGCAGGGTTCGTGTCTCCAGCTGCGAGTGGCTGATCACGTACTACACACCACAGGCAAAACATGAACTCAAAGACCAATGTTTTGAATTGGGCAACTTAAGTTCACAGAATAATCTTTGCAAACCACTGACCCTCAGAGTCTCATTGAAAACGGGGTTAATGGTGTTGGCCTTGATGCTTGTCTTCCTCTTGCTCTGTCGTGACATATCTGGCAGCAGGTAAGTCTTCACATAACTGCCATGAAGAAGACAAGGTGACTCAGAGGAGATAAATATTAATTAAACATGGACCATGCACAAAAAGCATTAATCTTAAAATGAGAAGAGATGATTTACACCAGATTTAGCTATTAGCTCATTTCCATCTGCAGTCCCTGGGCAGGTACACACAGAACAATCACCAGTCACTAAAAACAGTAATGCAACACAATGACATAGTCTCCATCACAATTATACAGACAAATCCACAAGCACACATCAACACATAAATACCAGCAAATACATCCAGTACACTATTATTTATTGTCTATACCACTGCCCCTGATTTATTATACAGTAGATGCTCATGTGAACAACTATTCATTAATGGCATTAGTAACATTTGATGACTTATTAGAAATGGCAGAAACACCTGACCTTTAATGAATTCCTTTATTAATGATTTGACTATTATTGACACACCAGCAGCGGTGGTTTTTCACAACCTGGCACCCACAGTGTTGTTATTACTGGTTTATAACTGAAGCAAATAAAAAAATGAACACTAAACATTTTAAAACAATAAGTATAAATAAATAAATAAGAAAAAGATAAGAACTTGAATGCTTAACTTGTAAGCCAATGTGGACATTTGAACAGTTGTTGGAAGGTGTACTTTGCCTCTTTTTCTTAGATACTGTTTTCCCCTGATGTTTTTGTGCTAAGCTAGGCTACTTAACACACAGAAAATAAAACGGACATATTAATATTCTCATCTATCTCCTGGTAAGACAGCGATGTTGGAGTATCTGAGCGCTAAGCACAGTATTTATGTGTGTGTGTGTGTGTGTGTGTGCGCACTCTTACGCGTCTGTGCGTTGCCTCCTCTCATCTCCTGTTGCCAGGTTGTGACACTCTTTCACCAGGACATTGAGAGCACCGGTTTTGTAGCTGTAGCTGATTTTCAGCAGGATCTCGCCGCTCACCCTGGCGTTGCCATAGTCACCAGTCTCGCTGTACATGCTCATCATGCTGTTTATGCTACTCTGTTAGGCAAACACAGGAGATTGAGAGCGAGATATGAGAGGAGAAGGTCAAAGGAAGAAAAGGGAGTTGAAGAGGTCAGGAAAGAAAACGGAGAGCAACACATGAGGTATAAAGTGTAAAAGAGATGATCTGGAAAATCAAGAAAACAAATAAAATATGGAAATAAAACAGTATGATCTTCAGTTGAATAAAATCTGTGGCAATGCACGGTAATGTTATGGGGAAGGCTCATGCCATTAAAAATGTGCATTGCTGCACTCGCACATGGTTGCATACTGTGGACTTCAGAAGATTCAGTGGTCTGCTGGACACATAGGGGAGATGAGGGTATTCTGGTATAGAGGACGTATGAACAGGGCCCTCATTAAAAAAAGAGAGCACTGCTCAAGTTTGCCTTGAAAAATCAGAAGCTGGAAGGCACCTGGAGCACCTCCTCTTCAGGAATGAGTGAGTTTGGAAAGGTTATTGCTTGTGAAAGGATGTGGTCCATCATATAGGACATTAATGGAGCAGAAAACTATTTCCTATGTATGAAGTGGAAGGATGTAGTGGAAGCACATTTGTGTCACGGATATCCATGTGGGATTTATGCTTTTATAGTTTCTTCCAGTATAATATGTTTTTTCCTTTTTTCTCTTTTTTTTTTCACTTTGACATATTTTGGTCGACCCTCTTGTTTGTGCGTGTGGGTGGAAAGGGGACTTTGGAAAAGTTATGGATTTCAAAATAGGTTGTAATTTTTCATTTGATGATATTTTGATTACACTGCAAATTAAAAACTGAAATGCTCAAGCTGATCAATCTATTAATCGTTCTTCAAATTGTTTATTTTGTATGGACAACTGCCCAAAACCCAAAAGATGTTTAATTTACCATCAAATAAGTCTAAGAAAAGCAGCTAATCCTTACAGCTGAAAATCTGGAGCTACACTTTTGTTTGTTTGAAAAATGTCTTGCCGTTGCTGATTCATTTTCTGTTGCGCAACTCTCAATTAATCACCTTTCAACTCTAATTGCATATAAAAGTCATTAAATAAGTACATAAATATTGTTTACTTATTGTGTTACATAAATATTGTTTACTTATTGTGTTACATAAATATTGTTTACTTATTGTGTTGTCCCACTCAACATGTACAATCTGAAATCATAAAATCCATTCTTAAATTATGGCTAAAAACCTATTTTGAGCTCACAATGACCTTTGACCTTTAAGTCAAAAGTGTCACCTGTTCAGTGTACAACCAACTGTGAAATATGGTCACAATCTTCCCTTCTGGCCAAAGAAAGGACAAAGTGACCCTAACCTTTGAGTCAAAAGTGTCATCAGTTCAGTGTTTGACCAATTGTGAAATTTGGTCATCAATTCTTGAATCTAATCAGTTCTTCCTTGCGTCCAAGTGAATGTATGTGCCAAATCCGAAGAAATTATGGCTACGGCTATCGCCACCGCAGAGGCCAGTCGTATGGTCTTGTTATCATCAGTAACACCCAGAAAGTTAACAGTAAATTCTTGACAGTGAGTGTATTGACCTGTGTGGCAGCGCCTCCTGAGTTTCATAGATAGCCAAATTAAAAAGTTTTTAAAAAGTCTTTCACGACTTGAAGCTTAAAGACAACATTTTGCCTCCTCATATTGTTCACCTGCAAAACCTATTTCATTAACAAAAGACTCCAAATCATTACAACCGCAGCAGGTAATTTCGTCTGGAAAATGCCTTGGAAAGCAGGCAAACATGACTGTGGTAGCTCTGGAAAGGATATAACGTGTTATAATCCACTGATAATAGCATTGCTGTCTGGCAAGTGCTGAAGTAAAGAAGCCCGAATTGAGCCACACTGTGCTTCTTCTAATGGAAAGTCTACCTCACTTATATCCTGCAGGGAGCCAGTGTGATACATGACTAGTTTAATGTGAGGAGCTTAGACGTAATGGAAAGAGACAAAAAGAAAACATTAAGAAAAGCAAAGTATGACCAAAAAGACACACTGAACATTCAGGTATATTCTGAATATATGGCAGTACATTTAGGAAAAATCAGCATACATTATATATCAAATGTAATATTTGTGCTTTGGTGCTGCACCTTTATGTTTCTATTATGTAATGGTGGATTTAAATGCATGCACAAATATGGAATAGGAGACTTACAGTCTCAGCATCCGAGTCAGGGACATTGAGGTACCCCCACCTTCTCTCTGAGCAGGGAGTGGAAGACTAGCAGCCGATTCATTTAAGAGACAGAGAGATAAACGGGGGAAGGAAGGAGGGAAAAGAGAAGGAGAGCGATCTGAGCACTTTTGATGTGTTACTGATAGAGCCAGACCTCGAGCACAGACCCCCCCCCCAGGCCCCTGAGGAGGAGCAGCAGAAACCCTCCTGTCTACAGCGCCACAGCCAGAAACCACAGTGCGCACGGTTACCATGGAGATTATCAGAGGAAACCACAGAGATTACAACTGATCTGGAATCGTCTGTGAAATCAACACGTACAGGACAACAGTCAGAATGAGGAAGGAGTGTAGTTCCTCCATAATGTTTACTATGTCTATCAAATCTTTATATATTTATAATTTTAAATGTTTCCAGGTCCCCAGAGAACGGCTTTGGTGATCTTGAATTTTCATCTAGCACCGCCTGTAGGTTGATTTTTGAGATTTTGAGTGAAACATCTCAACAACTCGTGGATGGATTGCTATGAAATGTGGTACAGACATTCATGTCCTCCTCAGTGACGCAACTTTGGTGATCCCTTACCTTTTCATCTTGTGCACTCCAAGTTCCATTCTGTATTTGTCCAGTACGATCAGTTTTGTGATCAAAAACCCACAAAACTAACAGTCCTCAGCTGTTATACTGACAGGTGGCCCAATTACTTTTGTCCACCACATTGATACCAATGAGGGTAGGCTAAAAACAGTAACACTTCTCTGCATAATGCAATACAATTCAACAGCATGAGAAACTACATCTTTGAGGGCAGCACAGGGGCTCAGTGGTTAGTACTCTCTCCTTACAGCAGGAAAGTCCTGGGTTTGATTCCAGGCTGGGGCAGGGCCTTTCTGTGTGTAGTCAGTGTCTTGGGCAAAAGGGACTGGAGAAATTAAGAATTTACATAGGTTGAGGCTTAGATCTGGCATTGCAGAGAACACATTTTGCATACTGTACTGTTTATGCTTGTATATATGACCAAAGTCGATTTCATTTGATTAAAATAATCATAATCAACCTCTCTAAATTAAAAGAATAAAAATAACGGTTCCTCTAAAGCGTGAAAAACACTACTACAGTGGCGCTTTCATTATCCACCCTCCATGAAGTGAATCACGTAAGAGTGAGCAGAATATATTAGAGCTCGACTCAATGATAGACTCAACTATCTGCATAATATCCCTCATCACCTCCTTCCACTTCCATTCATACAACCAACAGCAGCTTAGTGACGGGCTGCTGTTGTTATTTATGAGATGACTTGATAAATGTCAGACAGGCAGGACGTCTGTCTCACCTGTTTACCTATGCAGCTCTCACTTTACACACGCACGCACGCATGCACACACGCACACACACATACATAACAATGAACATGGTATGAGTCAGCAAATAAGCCAATTATTTAGGACATTTGCATAAGTGGATTTTCTGCCAGTGTCCAGAAGAAAATAACGTGTGATCAAGTTCACTTTGCACAAGGCCCAAGTGTAAACATGGGAAATCAAGTCATGTAAAAAAGGGTACCATTTTAATATGTGTGATAACAGTTAACCATGCAGATAGTTTTATGTGTCCATGATTTGAGATATCGATCATTTGTGCCACCCCCCCAGTACAATGGACTTCAATTCAACTTGTGTTGTTGAGGGCAACAGAAAATCACATTTAAAACATATCAGCAGCAACATCTCTTTCCAGAATCAGTGTCCCTGTTACTCTAGTCAGTCAGCAGAACACAGAACCGTTTTGACAGGAACTATTTCAACAAAAATCATTTTAGTTACAACAAAAAACTGTTCACAGCGAGGTCTGTGGATTATCCAGAGTAACACTATTTCAGAAAAGAGATATTGCTCTTAAAATATTAAAACTGTGACTGGAGTCTGTTGTTGTTATTGCTCTTGAGATGTTCACCGTTGTATAATTTCTTTTTATTGGACTGAAAAATGACATTGTTTGTGTCTAATTGGCTGTCAAAGATAAGGAACAAAGCCACTTATGGGCAATACAATTTACAATATTACCTTGTTGGTGAGGTAAAGGTGTTAGCAATCAGTTGCCTATTTTCTCATTCAGCAGACAGAGCAACATTAGCAGTCATTTGGAGTTATGTTTGCACCCACTCAAGTCCAGATCTCTTTTTAGTCTTCCCTAACTCCTGGGGGAAGCATCTGGCTCTTTAGCTGCTAAATGCTTCACTATATTCACCAGCTAGTCCCTAACTTTGTCTTTCTGCTATTTGGTGCAAAGCAGTTTGTGTTCAAGTTCAATGCTCATAGTCATTTACTCCATGCATCCATCATCAACCGCTTATCCTGCGTACAGGGTCGCGGGGGGCTGGAGCCAATCCCAGCTTACATCGGGCGAAAGGCGGGGTACACCCTGGACACATCGCCAGTCCATCGCAGGGCCACACATACCCAAACAACCACTCACACTCCCATCCACACCTAAGGACAATTTTGGAGACACCAAATCACCTAGCCTGCATGTCTTTGGACGGTGGGAGGAAGCCGGAGCACCCTGAGAGAACCCACGCGGACACAGGGGGAACATGCAAATTCCAGGGGTTTGAACCCACGATCTTCTTGCTGTGAGGCAACAGTACTAACCACTGCATCACCGTGCCGCCCGTCATTTACGACATAATTATTAATATAATAATATTGAATAGTGCAGCTTTAAATGTATTTTCTTATTCATGTGAGCATCACAAAAGAAAATTCACTTAGCTCCATTGCCCAATGCAAAAAACAAATAAAACCAAAAACTGTCTGTAAAGCTAGATTCCACCAGGGGTAAGAGGGATAATATGTTTTTGGGTAACGTGGCTTAATCAATCATATAATATGATAAAAGAATATAAAGTTATTACTAACAAGGAATTTTTAACAAATATACACAGAACAAACACTGCATTAACCTACATTTACATGTGTTTCTGCAGCTTGTTCTCATAAACATAACAGTAACCCTTTACATTATCATACTACAAAGTCAAGATAGATTATGTAAATGCTACAGGCTTCCTAAGCGTGCAGTGGAAGGTGTCGTGACACAAGCTGTCCCCCGGCCTCAAAGCTTACACTATGTTTACACAGTCAACAGTAGAACAAACACACCTGACGCATGTGTCAGCTGATGGTGGTTAAGCGAGTGATGTGTGTATACGTTGTGTGCATGTTTGTACTGCACAATATGAATACAGGACTTCCCAGAATCTGGTTTTGATCATGGTGTGTTTGAACTAGCTTCAACATGGGTGTTACCGTTGACACTGCGTTGCTCAAGCGTCGGCTGGCAGGATTGCTGTGGGCCGACATCAGGGCATCGATGTCTTCCTCCGCATCCTCATCAGAAAACTCCTGCGGATGACAGCATTCAGATTTAATCAAAAGGGAGATGGCATCTGGGAGGCTGGCCAAAGCGTCTTTGAGCGCTGCACAGTTTTCCACACCGCAGCCCTGTGTGGGTGGATGCAGCCGGCTTCCATAAATCCGATCAGACAGAGTCAGGACAGAGTGTGGTCATTTGTTTACTAGTTAATCACGGGCAAAATCACACTGTTATTGGGTTTACAGTAAAGTTGTGAGCATGAATGGTATTAGTCGGTTAAAAAAAAATCATGTGTCTGAGTGTCTGCATTTTCGTGAAGCGCTGTGAATGCAAAGGAACACCCAGTAAACACAGAGACAAAGCAGCCCTATACTGAATATCAGACACTCCACCTGTTTTCAGCCTACAGCCGTTTAGATGTTGTCATGCTCTTTGAAGTGAGCTCTGAAGGGAAATTAACATTCAGCCCCACATCTGATGCATCACGTTGAGTTCATCAGCCCACAGATCCTGAGCTCGATGTGGACATACTGTATAGTAGATTTATGGCTTTAAAAGGGGTGTGGACTGAAAAATCAAACAGGCTGTGTGGATTTCACACTCAAAAAGCTTTTCCTGTGATTGTGAATTCTGTGGTGAATTTGTTGCAGAAATCAAATACGTTGTCAGTGTGCAGGGATGCAGCTGAAGGAGGATAAGGGCACAAAGTGATGGCGCTTACTTTTTCATTGAGTCCGGGGACGGAATGGCTTCTGAGACTGAAGGCGTCGTCACTGGGTTCAGAACCAGGAGCTGACAGGTCCATCTCTGAGCGACTGTGATCTGGCCAAGTGGTGAGAGGAGAGGGAGACAGGGGATGCAGAGGAGTACAGTAATACAGTAATAATAACAAACTTAATTTACTTTGTAACTAGCGTGCCAGAAAAGCAACTAAAAAGTTCTTGCCTAGAGTTAGACAAGAAGATCGAAACCATCTCTCATGACTTTTTGTTAAGTTTGGAGCTAGAGTTGGAGGCTCCACCTGTCAGGCTTTCTGTTCTCACACAGCACATATACAGTTTACAATGATAACGGTTGCAGATTACCTCTCAAAATTCAAACATCGAGTCATGACGTTTAGACAGCAGTAGATAAAAGCAGCTTTTCATTTTGCTGAAATTTCAAGTGTCACTGGCAGATTTTATAAGCTGTAGTTAGCTTGCTAATGAAGCTAATGTTAGCTCCATGAGCAGTGTTGGGCAAGTTTTTTCCAAAATGTATTACATTATAGATTACCAGTTAAATTTGAGAGTAATTAGTTATATTACAATATTACTGTCTCAGAATTGTAATGGTTTACACTACTTTTGTGTTACTTTGAGTTACTTTCACTGCTATTTGGGCGCGTTATCATGGTATGATAGTACGATGGGGGGGCGGGGGGATATGGGTGAATCATCTCCCAAGTAAGAAAGACGCTGTGCGCATTTATGCATGAGGTACAGCAGCATAATGTCATTGATTATTTGAATCTCCTGACACTCCGACAGGATCCGTCAGGATGAACTGACAGCAGCCTCTCTGATCATGAAAGTAATTCATTAAAGCACAAACACATGGCCTATAGAAATCTATTTACGCATGATCCATCAGGGGAGCTACCGTCTTGTTAAGAGGAGACGAGCTCCCCCGTAGTTTGCACTCTGCCTTCAATGTCAACCATCGACTTTCAGCAGGAAATAACGTTACTCTTTTACTCATGGTCATGGATTTGTTTTTCTGGTGGTGAAATGCTTCTTTGTGTTGGTGAATTATTAAAAAAAGGTGTGTTGTAACGCGCGTTACTGAGATTGTAATGGGTATAATATTACCGTTTTCTTTTAGTAATTTGTTTTATTACTGGTTACAGCAAAGTGGTCTTGCTCTAAATATGCACTTGATGGCTAGATTCATGATATCATTCTAAAACACTGGGGCGTAAGCAACAGGTCCCAGACATAAGTCAGCAGGTTCACCAGTTGATGATCTATGGAAAATTACACATAGTGGGAAATACTACACAGTGGATGTGCTAGTCCTGACCAGGGCTTTTCGTAATGTAACCTGTAACCCCACAAACTAATGTAGTTAGTTAGATAATCAGGTGAGATGAAACTGGAAACATTAACTTTTTTTACATAAAAATTTCATTAAAGGGTCAGTTTTAAAAAAAATAACTTTCTGACACATTTGCTGAAACTGTCACTATATCCCGAGTAGTACATGAGACAGATAATCTGTGAAAAAAAATCTGGTTCCTCTGGTTCCTCCTACTGCTCCTGATGCCATTTGCAAAAATCCACCCTGCCCGAGTCAAAACAACCAATCAGAGCAGTAATTTACTGCTCCTGCATGCTCTCACTCAATCAAGCTCAATATCTAAAGCGCGCTTCAGAAGTTTTGCAAACACTAATTGTCTGAGAAACAACCAGCAGCAATGAAAGAACACAGTTAATAGTACAAAACACTCATGTCCCATCTGCACAGGAGCTTCGGGCTCATGTTCGATGCCATGGCTCTCGTATTGACGAGTGGCAAAGAAGCATGATGCCAAACAGTGGGGAATAACTTTTGAGTTGGGACAGTGGTGTACTAGCCTCTCATCCTGCTGTTAGACGTTGTCAGTTGTTGCCGACTGCAGCTTTAAACATGTAAAATAACTGTACAGGAAAAAAAGAGAAAGGAAATTGGAAATTGATAACCAGTGTAAAGAAGCAGGCACAACTGGGTCTAAAACTACAGGAGGCAGCTTTACCACAAGAGTTTGTATGAGATTTTTGAAACAGTGAGCATCTGAGTTTTGAGGATCTGAGGACTCGTCCAGAGACAAACTGTAGTCAGGATCTTAAAATCCTAAAATGGGAAATACAATGCTACAAAACAAAATGATTATATCTTCAGTATACAGTATAATACTGAATATGTGGTCTGACACATCTGTGGGTGTGGATGGGGACCTCACGCAGCAGCTTTTTTCCAGCTAATTTTAAAATCTTAACACACTTCTTAGCAGCTGTTACTAGTGGAGATAACACAGAGAGACACAAAGTAGAGCAGATTATACTTTAAAAAGAGGAGAGTTCAACACATATAGCAGAGCAGTGACAGGGGCTTAAGTTAGGAGTCAGGAGTGTAGAGTAGTTCAGCCCTTTACGAGGTACTTCATGGTCTGGGTTGGAGAGCAGCTAAGTGTTTCTGCACAGCCCTGTTTAAACTGTCTAACCTCCAGTATAATACTGCTGCCTCTAACACGTCTTGAAACTGTGACTCAGATATTGAAATATTTGTGTGTGGACAGCAGGAGCCATGTCGCTTCAATGTGAAGCAAAAAAAAAAAAAAGACTAAGGAAGAGGTGTGGGTCATAGTGGAGATACCTGATGAAACTGAGGCCCTGGACACAGAAATGGTCGGGGTGCCTGAGTTCGTCCTGTGATGGCCGGCAGCCTTTTTCTCAGATGCGCTGTCGCGTAAACTGGCAGTGCTCTCTGCTCCGTCAGGCTGCGTGTAAACAAACACACACACACACACACTCAAGCGGTTAGGTTTGATCTGGATAGTTTATCCTTGCGTGTTGGTATGTGTGTTTTGTGTTTGTGTGTATCGGTTGCTGACCCTGACCCTCCGGTTGTCGCTGGGAGTAGGGGATCTCTCCTGAGTTTGGGACCGCAGGTTGTTGGGAATCGTGGGTATCCCCGAGGACTCCAAGGCCACTGCACCGCCCCTGAAAACCAGGATCCAGATCAACAAGAAGTATTTAACAGCCATGACACTCCTTTCATCCGTCATCATGAAATAATGTTAATTTAAGTCTTGCATAGTTGTGTAACACTTGTGGGAAACAACCTGCTCAAAGCTCTTTGAATTTCACTCAAATAGATTTACTCAAATATCACGTTAATGTCATTGCCATCTCACTTTCTTCAATGCTCTTTTTTTGTTGTCACTGAAATGTTTTCAAACAGATATCAACCAGCTTAACCCTCTCATGTATGAATTATTAAAAACATTATCAAGATTTTTTAAAGATTCTTTTTATTAATCAAAATTGGGTTAATATAAAAATCCATTTACATTTTTTTCAAAATTCTGTTTTGTTTTTAAATTATTTAACTGTCCCCGTATGTGGACACCATGCAAAAAAGGAGTAAAATGCCACACCTGACAATATGTTTTTTATACATCAACATACAACATGTAACAGATAACATAGTTGTAGTTAAAACTGATTTCTTCACATTATGTGAGTACAGTACTTATTCTTATTTCATGTAAAGGTCGGAAAGCAGTCAAATGTTGCAATTTAATGCTGTAGTTTGCATTGTTGTTAATGTTCATATATTTGTTAAATGTCTGTTTTATTATAATACAATACAATTAATCACATCTTTGAAAGTAGAATAGATATACTAGCTGGTTACAGAAATCCAACTTTATGCAATCTGACTCCACTGTTGCAGGGCGTCCATATACGTGGAAAGTTGATTTTTGGTGTATAAAAACTACATTTTACTCTAAATTTTAATTTATAAACATAAACCTGTTAATAATACTTTACTGCACATACTAAAATTTTCTTATCTTGACTGACCTCCTTGAATAAAAGTTTTTCATAGATATGTCTGAGGCATTTAGCACATGGCCATCACAGTCGGCCATCTTGGACTGATGAGGTCATCAAGCAATAAATACTTGGAGTAACCACTGTTACAATGTTGCTATCAATCAACTGCCACTGTCCTCAAATGACTTGGAGAACATAACCATGATATATTACCCCAAAATGGAGTTACAATAACTGTCCCCAAATGTGGACACCATGCACGAAAGGGTTAAGCCTAAAATACTGTGTTAATGTGAACTCTTATAGAGCAATGGTATGACATTGATGCGGGGTACAGTACATATCTCAGTCTATTGGTAGTGTGAATAGGCACCTGTTTGAACGTGGACTCGGTGCAGAGCGAACACTTCGTACGCTTTGAGCATCTCCATCCGAAGCAGATTTGACACTGACACTGTCGACTCCGTTCTCCGGCTTCAAGGTGTTTCGGTTGCCTTTCTTATCCATCTTCATCCTTCTACACACAAACACAGGGAGTCTGTTATCTGCTGCATGTTGGAGATAATCAGTCATGTCCATTATTGCAGAGTCACTACACTATATCTCCCTGCCCTGTCTGCTTTATCAAAATCATCTGGGTCACTCAACTCTACAGTTTGCATCCTGCAGATGAAAAAACACTCTAGATAGAGATTGTTTTGGCAATTGTTTTGATCAATTATTTGCACTAAGTAGGTTGTTTACCATCCCGTTTGCTTCTATTTTTTGTTAGGAATGTGGTTTTGTGTTCATGTTTCCTGTTTAAATCTGTTTTTGGTTCTGTGTATTCTGTGTAGCCTTGTTCATTATTATTCATCTGCATCCTTAAGTTACTTAGTATCTGTCTTGTCTCGTGTCTTAGTTCTTAGTCCTGTACATTAGTTCAGGTCTTTAGTGTTTACTCCTGGTCTTGTGTTCTGTTTAGCCTTGTGTGTTCCTGTGAACCTTACTTCCTGTTATATTTTGGTAACCCTCTGTACCTGGTGTCCTTGTCTAGCTTTGTTTGATTACCTGATGTATCTCACCTGTGTTGCTCCCGCCCCACTCGTTAGTCCCTGTGTATATGTATGCCTGCTTGTGTCTCCAGTCTTGGTCACATCCTGTGTATGTGCGTCTAATGTTGTGTGTTCCTGCCTGTTCCTTCGTTTTTCCCTGTTCTGGATTATCTTTGTTTGGACTTTGCCTCGAGCTCCTTGTAAGCCTATTTCAGTTTAGTTTTGAGTTAATAAATCTCTTTTTGAACTGCATCCTCTCGCCTCGCCTTGCCATTGTCTGCATTTGGGTCCTCACCCCAGTCTGCACTCAGCACCCTCACCTGTGACATTTTTATTAGTTAGCAGGATAAAATAACTAACTTCCTGATTTGAATGAAATTTCTTGGAAATGTAGGCCATGTGATTAGCCATTAGCCAGATACAGAATAAGATACAGAATATTCAGCCACACTTGCACCATAGCTGCACAGACAGCAATGTTGGTCCACAACTTGAAATATCTCAACAATTATTCACTGGATTGGCACAAAATTGTGTAATGACATTCATGGTCCCCAGAGGGTGAAGCCGACTGACTTTGGTGATCCTCTGACTTCTCCTCTAGCGCCACCATAAGGTTCACATTTTTTTGTGAGATGCTTTGACAACCAATGGAAGGATTGCCATGAAATTAATTTAAAACTGTGTGTTAATTAGCAAATATTAACATGTTAAAAAGCTACACTAAGCTAATGAACATAGTCAACATTATATGTGCTAAACAGCAACATATCAACACAATTTCACCGTCATCACTGTCAATCATAACTTGAACCCCCCCCACCACTGAGAAGGGTAGCAGCCCGCAGAAGGTTCTTCCCAGAAGCCACCGCACACAAAACGTTATGACATTTATCTCGGCCGCTCGGCCCCACTATACTATAATTATATTGTACAGGATACTAATACTTTAATTTCTGCAAATATTTATTTATAATAATGATGATAATAATAAAGCAGTGTTTCAATTCATACCACTGTTGTTGTTTTTTTTGTTTGTTTCAAAGTGATTTTGAGTTTCACAAGCCAAGAATGTTCTGTACATCATGAGCCAGAAGTATCTTGATTTAGGGTTAAAACTTTACAACATTACTCAGAATTTAATGATAGAATAACAGCGGTACGACCAAACATTAACAGTATCGTACACACCGTGGACATGTCTGCTGCGTTGGCTGCAGTGGTCTGTGTGACTGGACCTGGGGGAGCTGACCGGCCGCCAGCAAGCTAGCTAGCTAACTATTCTAGACAGCCTCGCGAAGCATGTTACCTTTACCCTAACCATCACAGTGTGTGTGCCTAAACCTAAGTTACTGATTGTATGCATGTCAACCGGTTAACCCTACAGCTGCGCACATGGGCCTCAAGGCTGACGTGCTAGCAGATAGGGTTAACCTCCATTGCTGTGCAGGCTCCGGTAGGTTACAGCAGCTATTTAATACTGACACCCGACGGCACCTGTGGAGCTTCTCAACTCCGACATTTTCGATTCGCCTTCAAAAAACTGCCGATATTCACAATCTCCACAGTTGATTTCTCGCCTCAAAACTTCTCAGAAGTGTATTTAAAGTTCTGTTGTTGGCCTCTACAGAAAAAAATCCGCTTTTCATTAGAATATACTGTATGTGGGCCGAGATTAACGTCAACACGTTTTGTGCGTAGTGTCTTCTGGGACAAACCATACTTGGAAGTTCAACTTACGTCACGTCTGCTCAGGTCTGCAGGCTGCAGCTAGATATAGTTGCCACCATCCACTAACAGCAGCGATCAAGATGTTTTGGCTTCACTTTTTGGGAGCTGTCATATTAGCCATCTTTAAATACAGTACTGCCTCACAGAGCTTCTAGCATGGCTGTAGATTTTAGTCTTGCTTCCAAAGTTTTTAATGTTGAAATAACAATTTAAAACTTTGTTTCCATTTGTTTTTTACTACAATAATTACTTAATAATTACGTCAAAATTTATTCATTCATTTCCGTGTTTCCTGTTTTATTTTGTTACTTATCTCTCCTCTCGTTTCTGTCCACCTCACTTCTTGCTCTTGTGTTTTCTCGCTTGTTTGATTATTTGCTCCAACCTTAATCACCTCCCTCTTGTACATTTATGTATTATAAATTTATATTTTATGCCTGAATGTGGATTTACTTTGGATTTCTGGTATTTGGATTTTTGCTTGTGCCTTTTTGGAGCGTTTGGAGTGTTTTTTACACTTGCCTGCTTCTTCACAGCGTAAGGCTGTTTACCCGTCATTTATTTATTAATAAACACCAAAGACTGCTCTGCCTTGTGTATAACCTGCGTCCGAATCCCTGCTTTACCTCCTCCCTGCTTGACGTAACATGACAATATAAATCCCATGACTCTCTATTACTACTGTTTGTGAATTCTGATGCAGATGTAGATTCATATGCACATTAAAACATTTAACTTTTACATGAAATTGTTTATAAGATGCAGTAGCACTTTTTTTATATTAAACTTTACTGCTAACAAGATACATGATCAACAAAAATCTTTAACATGTATTTTGTAAATTGTATTTGGAAGATGTGAATGCAGACACTCTTTAGAAGCCACCGCTCTGATCTCTTACTGTGATTTTGAAATGAAAGTAGTTCATTTTTGTTGACAGAGCAGCCCTCATAGATATATTATAACAGAGCTGGTATGGCTTCTTTGTCCGAATCACTGCGATGTCTTCAGGAACCATTCAAGTGCAGCCAAGATAAGGAGTGATACTAGCCGGCACAATCTAATTACTGCTGTTATTTTAAGAAATGTATTTTAAAATGCATTCAGGTCCTCTGAAAAATCAAATGAGCATCCACTTGTTGTTTTCTAATGCAGTTTTTTCTAGTGCATATTTTGCATGTTTCATGTTTTCATGTTGTAATTCACTGAGTAAACCCTATTCAGAATACGTATGTGTTTGCAATGTTAATTAAGCTGTTTTGTACTCTTCCACTACTTACCCTTTCCTCCTGGCACCATCCACAGCTATTAGTAGTGGACTTCTTTTGGATCTTGGGGTGTCTGGGTTCTCTAATTGAGAAGGTGCTGACAGGTTTTCTGTAGACTTTTTTGCCGTGGCTTGTGATAAAAAAAAGAAATCAAGAATCAAATAATAAAATCAGCGTATTTCCTACACTACTTCACCACCAAACATATTATTTCCGGACTCTTTTTGGTCTGGCTTTAAACAGCTTTAAAGATTTCAGAACATTAGGGGTGAAACTCACTGGGGGGGCTACTCATGATTGTCTGTTTGATCACGTCACTGCTCGGCACTCCCTGCTCAAAGCGCTTGGACCGCTCCTCCAGAAACCACTCTCCTGTTACCACCTTCAGCTCCCTGCAAACACATCTGCATTTTACTTGGATTACAATGTTTCAACATTCATCAAGTGTTTAAAAAAAATCCACCCAAACTCTATCCATCAAGAACCAGTGAGTTATTTTGTGATGACAGGGTTTTGGCAGGCTTCATAAAGTTAAAATTAAGGCCTGTTTTATATCACATACTCATATGAAAGATATCAATGAAAACCAGTAGGGATGATAAGGCATATAGTTATTTACCATGTCCATGAAGGTAATGACATCACATTATTATCAGTACCTTCAAGATATAACAAATCCTGATAATATTGATCATTAAACATAATGAACGGATGGATACTGGGGGATTACAGTGTTTGCTGTAATCACACAAAACATTTCAAAAAAATATTAAAAATAATAATATGAATATACACAAAAATATTCCAGTAAATATAAATGAAATTTAACACATTTTAATAACTACTATGGCATTTTAGGGAAACTCTAAACATATGTTTAAAGACTTTTAAAGACCTGCAGATATCCGGGATGAAAAGTGATTTGTGCAACCTGCACTTTTTCTCATTCCGATTTTTCTGCTTGTGTTTCAGTCGGTGATTTTCTGCATGACAACTTTAGCTGTGGGCTACATGTGTAGGTGGAGAGAGCAAGAGTTGAGAACACTTTCTTACACTTATTCGAAAACAACATCTTGTGGCCACAGTGTGATTATTCAGGCGACGGTGATGGAGAACTTGATATCACTCCTAATACTTTGTGCAAAGTGATAGAAGAAACCCCCCCCCGCTAAGTGGATTCTGAAGAACAGACACCAAACCCTGATGTTTCCTAGTAAGAATTTCATTGCTTCCAAATAGTTAAATTGTAGCAGGGCTATAAATATCTCACATAACTTCTTTGTCTTCGATATATAAACCATGCCTTGAGGGCAGGCCAAGGCTCCAGCAAGATTTGTCTTTCTTAATATTTCTAATAACACTTCTTTACACAAACAAGTTGACATTTACATTAACTACATTTTAGTATTATGTTTTAAATGTATCAAAATGGAAGAATAAACATCTAAATCAACATATTAAAATGCAGTGATGATGTAGCAGCTAAAACTTGACAAACCTGAACACTAGCTAAAACCTACAAAGGCTGGACAAACCACAAATAAAGATTGTTTCCACGAACTTGAACAGATTTTGGTCTAGAAGAAGCATAAACCGACTGAGTAAATTGCACTAGACAACACAACAGACGACTGGTCAGTAACAACGGCTGCTATACAACTAAACACGGCAAATTCCACCAGACCGCCAACTGTTGAGTGTTATTATACCAAAACAAATACGTACGGGAACCAGCAGCTTGCACTGTTTATATTCAGTGAAGTTTCTGCAGAAGAGGCCAAAAAAAAGGAGAAAAAAGGCTCAGAGTTTGGGTGAGATTCTGGATAGAGAGGGACGTTGGAGTCTACAGCCTACAGAGGAAACTAGAGGTCAGTGAGCTTTGTAAACAGGGCTAACTTCAGGGAAAACTGTTTATTTACCTGCATGTCTCCCTCAGGCGACACACAAGTGACATTATCGGACACTACACATGTTTTTAAAAATCTTTATGCGAATGACTGAAGGCTCTTTACACTTATAAAACACTATTTTATCTTGTCTGCTGAATGTCAACACCAGCTGACCGACACTGGAACAGACCCAGTCCAGCTTGGTCCCATCAGTCGCTAAGCCCAAATAATTTTCATAAACTGCTCAATAGTCATAATGTTTGTTGTGTAGCAGGAAAAGCACAGGTGATGGCTCAGTCCCAGTAAGCCATGACAGTGAGCCAGCATGAAAAATACCAGCACCTTGGAACCAGCTCACATAAATGGGATGCTGTGGTTTTTAATGTTATCAATCACCTGTGCTTTCCCTGCTGTGACGAAACAGGTTTTTAATGCTTTAGTGTTTCGTGTTTGGGTGGATTATTTTTTTAAGCCTTGTAGAAGATCACAGCACTGAAACACCTGAGGCTCCCACAGACAAATGGAGACATGCGTGGTGTCATTAACCATCTAAGCCAAACCAGGCATCACACTTACGAGATCTTGGCACAAACATTACACTTCCACTGGTGTGTGTTGGGAGCTTTCACGCGGCAGTCGCTGCAGACGCGCAGCTGACACTCCTTGCAGAGATCTCCTCGGTCGAAGATCAGGCCCAAAGTCTTCAGGCAGCGAGCGCACTGTCGTTCCCCCAGCTCCTGGGGCCGACGGGAACCTTTTCGTTTGATCTCCAGCAGCTCATTCTTTAGCTTCCTATTGCACAGAAAGAGGAGAACATGAAGGGATATTAAGAATACTCTGAGCGAGATGGAGCGAGTACAAAAGGTGAAACTGAAGTCCTCACCGTATCCTCTTCTCCTCTCGTTTCCTTAATTTCTCATCTTTCTGCAGCACCTTCAGGATCATATCTCTTTCATGTTCCAGTAGAAAGGAGAGGTTCAGATCCTCCCCGTCCTGCTCCATTGGTCCCTCAGTCTATAGTCAGCCAATGAAATCAGCCAAGCAATGTTGCATGGAGGAAGTCATAAAGAACTACATTACGCTGCAAAGTGCTCCTCTTTCTGAATGGGTTGGTGTTCTTTTAGCCCTGGCATAGTCTGAACTTCCTGGTGTCCCTCCAGCGTTTCCTCCTCTAATCTTCTGTTTCTAGTGAAAGCTGGCAAGAGGTGACCACTCTCAGGAAACCTAGACGAGGTCAAACAGACACAAGGGAAGGTCAGTAAAATATGGCTGACATTAATGACCTAGAAAAAATAGGGTTGGCTGTTAAAGCCCTGGTTAACGTGCCAGTGTAGAATGCATTAATTAAAATAAAACAATGATTTTTAGGATTACAAGGGGAAGCATTTGAGAGCTCCACAGCACCGTAACAACCTTCCAATTAGGCTCCAAGCCTGACATTCAGTGCACAAGACTCACATTTCTCAGCTTCTATTAGCAAAGCTCCATCTTTCCCTTAAATTCATGACAAGACTAATTTTCTGCACACCTGCATGCCAATCCACACAGCCACACAATATTCATTGGGCAGAGGCTTTTGTACAAAGATGTCATCCCAAGTCAGTCTGTCAGTCCACCACTTTGGTCCAGACCAAAATAGCTCAACAACTGTTTGATGGATTGCCATACAATGTGGTACAGATATTCATGGTGTCCAGATGATGAATTGCAATAATTCTGGTTAGCCCTTAACTTTTCATCTAGAGGCATCATCAACTCATAATTTAAATTTGTCTAACACTTTAGTTCATAGGTGTCGTTTACACTTGGGATGCTGGGGATATGTCCCCACCACTATTTGAAATGGCTGATTTTGCCCCCATCACTTTTTAAAAGTACAAATTGTTAGAAATGTTCTGAAAAGTAGCTTGCACCAAGAAATGAAAATATTTGAAACAGAAAGGTTTATTTGCAAATTAAGAAAAATTAAAATATAGAAGAAACAAATATGCATTGTCCAAAAAAAGTAACTTAAACAAAAAAAACCCTACTGATTCTAAAATCACCCAAAATGTTCATGCGCCAATCAGCAACTTTAACAAATTCTTAACAGTTTCTTCTTGTCCAAGTTTTGTGTTCTCTCCATGTGAACATGACAAACAGCAACACAGTTGAGTCAGGTTTTTGACATCTTTTTCTCTAATATTAAAAGGGTATGCAGCATCTATTTAAACATAGGGTTGATTTATTATCTTTAGCTAACTTTGTTAACGTTATTCCTTAAGTCTTTTCTATTTTGTCATATTTTAGGGCAGTGATTTTGGATAAACTGAACACATGCACTGGTGCTTTCTGTACAGTAGATGTGGTTTTGGCGTTGTTCGATTGACATGGTGTTACAGGTGTGGATGTGATGGATGACTTTTATGAGTATTTCCGGACTGTCGCCTCTTTAGCCTACACTATGCCCTTTTGATGTGCTGTTATGCAATATTTTTTCCGACCTGTAGTAACTCTGACCTCATACTGGTCCCCCGTTATATTTCCTAAAATTGCATATGCTGAAGATCACTTTTCAACACAAAGTGACGCCCTTGCTTTAGTTTATGATGCAATCCTTGGTGAACTACTTACAATCCCATCAGGCTAAGGTGTAATATGTGTTTAGTGCTAATTAGCGAATTAGTTCAGTGTGTTAACACGAACATTGTAAACATTTCCTGCTAAATATCAGTATGTTAGCATGTTACACGCTGACATTAGCATTTAGCTCAAAGCACTAATGTGCCTCACAGAGCTAGCATGGCTGTAGACTCTGCTGCTAAAAAACTTACTATGACAGGAGGAGCCAGGGATTGAACCCCCAACCCTACGATTAATGGCTCTGCCACATGAGACATGACCACCTTGATTATGATAAATGGTCCACAGGGAACAATGTCAAGCAGTGGAATTGTGACACCTAGCTGTGCTGTCGAAATGCTAAGTGGATATGATTTCCTCTGATGTTATTGCTACTCTGATTTGAATGCTCTACATGAACACACACACAGAGACAATATTCTCTATCCAACTGCAGTGCCTGATCAAGTAAACTGCAAGTGAATAACCTGATTTGCACAAAAATTGCTTTCCACCCTGTCAATAAAACCAAGGATGAAGATCAGAAACTAGGAGAGGAACAAAATTCTGTCAGTGGTTGTGAAAATTAAGTTGGGAAATAAAAATTGAATGGAGTGGAGGGATCTGCATAAGCCCACACAAGCCTCCTTCAGTCCTTATTCATTACCGTCTCTTTCATCCTCAGTCTTTCTTCTCTCGCCCCATCCCTTCACTTTACATGAATTAGCACTAATGAACTGAGAGACATCATCTCAGCTTCATTTGTTTCCAAAGGCACATCATGACATCAGTGATTATAGCATTTTAAGCTGAACTGCAGGTGCATAGTAGCCAAAGAAGAGATTTTTATTCACCTTTAAGATGTGAGGTGGGGATTTAATAGCTGAAATAATGATGATTTACAGATACCTTTGCATTTAAAAGATTCAAACTGCTGAATACAGACATGTAGGCACTAAACAAAATGTCAAAGTCATTACAATTCATCCTGTGGTCAACATGGTTGTCTGTACCAAATTTCATGGCAATCCATCCAATAGTTGTCAACATTTCACTCAAAACCACAAATGTCAATTTCAGTGTGGCGCTAGAATAAAATTTGGTGCAAATCCATCCATACATGTTTACAACTTTAACAGAATATGTGTCAGCTTTGACCTGTTGGTAGTGCTAGATGAAATGTCAGAGGATTACCAAAGTCAGCAGGGGACATCCTCTGGGGATCATGAATGTCTGTTTCAAATTCATGGCAAACCACCCAGATAGCAGACCAACACTGAATCAACATTACCTTGCTATCTGGGCATCCATTAGCACAAATGCAACCTCAAAAAAAAAAAAAAACACCATAAAGACTATAAAAAAATATAATCTTCCTGTAGACTTTATTGCAGGACTATTTTATTAGACTGTGTTAGTTTTAGCTAGGTGTGCCTAAAAACTCATAACTGAGTGCATGTAAAGCAAGAATGCCAAAATGCCGATTATAACAACACAGAGAATTGAGGCAGCCAAGCAACTATGTTATATGATGCTCTTGACGTACAGAGCACACATGACAAATATTTGGTCAACAAGGCCAAACTAATATTTATCTGAGCCTCTATCATATTATAGTCATTCTGTGAGAACAAAACACTGTCTCAGAGTTTGAACTGTGTGCTGCAGTAGGCGTGGTGTCCTGACGCAGCCCTCCCTGAGTACACACAGCACACATTCCTGCTGCCGCTCTCTCTGTCCTGGGTGAACATGAGTAGAGGAAATGCACTTACTTCTCAGCTCAACACTAATAACGTGGCTCCAAGGAAAGCACTGTGACTCATTGCCTTCTCAGTATAGTGTGGGGAAGGTCTTTATCTTTTCCACCATTCACAATTCATGTGGTTCAAACATATAATGGATAATTTGTCACTGAGTCTGTGTTCTACCGGGGACATCTGGCCACAAGGCAACATTGTGGTCTGCTTGGTGTTTTGTAACTCTGTGACATTTTACCACCAATAAGTCTGGTGTTTCCTGCAGGTGGCCGGGCTTACAGACAGCAGAATCAATCTGCCAATTAAAGACCACAGGTGTGCCGGGAGCAGCTGGCCTCCAGTTGGCAGAAAAGCAAAGTAGACATGGATGAGAAATGAACATGGAATAAACATAATAAACAGTCATTACTGAACATTCAGCGGGTGGACAGAGGAACACAAAAATGACTTTGAAGTTATAAACCGAGGTCTCATGAAGCCTTCCGAACAGCTTCAGTCCTTCATTACCTCTATCTCATCACAGAGCTCACTCTCAGATTTGAGATAATCTTGGCCTTGTCACACTATAAGTATCTTGGTATTTGGATGGACGATAAGTTAGCTTTCACACACATGTACAAATACTGTAGATATGTTTTTAAAGAAACTCAGGCCAAACAAGCTTTTTATTTTCACAAGTCCTGTTTCCCCTCTGAAGCTAAAAAGAAACTTGTTTAAGCCAACTTTTTATCTGTGATTGACTATGTGGATCTGTTGTACACGCATGGGGCATCATCTCTACTAGGAAAACTATATTCTGCCTAACATGCAGCATTGCGCTTTATCACACGTACCAGATCGTCCACTCATCATTGTGGTTAATACAAAATGGTTGAATGGCCTTCTCTAGCTACACATAGGCAGTTACATTTGTGTGTTTTATCTAAAAGACAATCCTCTGCATATTACCCAGTTACTTGTAGCCTCCTTAACTTTGCGGTCAGTAGTTACCAAACATGGTCTAGCAGGCTACTGCTTTTAAAACTTAGGAAATACTGCTTTTAAAACTTAGGAAATACTGCTTTTTCATATTGTGCACACTCAACAAGGAACTCCTTACAAATGATTCTCCAGTTATAGAAGCACTTAGGGAGTTCAACACTCTGGACAGTAGATGTTTCCCATAGGCTGGATTCTTTAAGTGTATGTATAGCTGTCTTGGAAGAAGGTTTAACGTATTGTATTGTCATATGTGTGTCAATGTAATATGTTAAATAAAGGTTAAATAAATAAAATAAAATCTCAGTTTACTTACTTTTACTAAAAAATGCAGTGCCCAGCTGCTTAAGGAAGTTACTGAGCCTTTAAAAAAACTACATTTATACACATTTTTAAAGATTTATATATCCAGTACTAACCAAAGGGATTCGAGCTTAGAGCTATTTGTTTATAATATATATATATATATATATACACTTTACTCTCATTCACAGCGGTAATTAACACCTCTATACCTCATCATTTTAAGGCTTTTACATTATTACAGTTTACTTCAGCATCTCAACATAACATTAGAAAGTTTCCCCCTCCAGCCAAATTGTTTTGCTCATCAGTACTCCTGTGATTTAAAAAACAAACATTTGGGTCCTGTCCTCTCCAGGTGTTTACTGTTTCTGTTGCCTTGCAATCATAATATAATACAATATGATGCAAGTAAAAGCAGTGATCGTTTTAAAGATGTAATATGCTGCTAACTGGAAATCTGCGCTCAAAAACTCAAAATCTTTGCAAATATGATTTGGTTACTTGAAAATTAAGTTACAGTACCCACCCACATTCATACCTCTCTCTGTTTCATTCTTCATTCCCAAATGTTATTCTGGTGTT